TGCCACACTGATAGTTAAAAGATTAACACTGGTTGGCTGAGACGCACATCATCACAGGTCCCTGAGGAACCTGACAGCAAAGACCGAGTTCTCTGCACTCTGCAAACCCTCTGTGCCAGCCACACGTCGGGTCACTGCTCTGCCAGCCTAGGCTGCACTGGGGCCCTCAGCCAGTAAAACACAGAAAACAGTCAACAAGCAGCCACCCCCAGCTGCTGTGGCTGTGGGTGAGTAATGGAGAAGCGAATTATCCTTTTCTCAACAGCACGATAAAGCAAGGAAACCGCCGCCCGCCTGCAGAGCCCTCACCTGCGGCTGCTGCAGCCAAGACACCGCCAGGTCTAGGAGGAGTTCTGCCCTGGCAGGCCACGGCCCTCCCTTGGCCATTCCCCTGAGGAAGAAGTGTGCAGACAGCTGACCTCTAAAGTCTATGTCTCCAGGGCACCGTCAGTCTGGCCACAGCGGTCTGATGCTTTATTACCTTGTGCTCCGAGCAGTTGATTCGATTCCATTTGGTGCAAATGGATTTTTTTTTCAATCTCCTTTTAAAGCCCAGGCCAGACTTTATCATATGTAACTAGCTTAGCTGAGTCCTTGGCTCCTTAGAGAAATGGCTGGTTCCAGGCTGAGACAGACGACGTGCAAAGCAAGCGTGGAACAGACACACACTGATAGGGACGCGTGCCCAGGACGCTGATTCAGCGGAAGGAGTGCCTGCAGCCAAACCTGCACGCAGCTGAGGGCCCAAAGGAGCGACGGCAGGGACAGATTATCAAGGGAGCAAAAAGGAGTACACCCCAAAACTGTAAAGAGAAGAGACTGTCTTCTATATGAAAGATCCTGGCTACTACATATAGAAAGAACTGCTTAGCAGAGAACACAGACGTTATTGAATAAAAGGCTCAGGAAAGTCAGGAGAACCCACGTGTCTAAGATCAGACATTAACCAGAAAGGCAAAATGGTGCCTTTACAGTAGGATAATCCAGTTGAAGTCACCTTAACCGGAGTGTCAGTACTGTCACTAATTAAGGAGAAAACTGTTACCATGTGCCCACAGGACATTACCTGCATCCTGCCAGAAACATTTAGCCTGAATCAAAGTGTAATGGGATAATTCAGACAAGTTCAGGTACAGCGGTATCTCACAAACATGGACTGGCCCCTTAAACATGTTTGGATCAGGAGGGACAAAAGAGGGTCAGAGGGCCACTTACATTAAAAGAGACTAACAACCTGACAGCCAAAGGCAGTACTGGTTTGGGAAGAAGGTAGCTGTAATAGACATTCTTAGGGAAATTGAGAAAGTCTGAATGTGGACTGTGTGGCGTCCTGTGGATGTGAAATGTCCTGACCGCCCACCATTATGCTAGCGCTCTGTGGGAACACGGCCTCGTGCCTATGCCGAGCAGGCAGAGGTATTCAGGGGTGAAGAGTCACGAGGTCTCTGACCGCCTCGCAAACTGCAGGTGAAAGCTGAGGGAGGGAGAGGAAATAAGCGTGCTGGGTGAACATTCGGTGTGCACCAGCAAAGACACAGGGCGCACAGCACACAGAGCCAAGCTGTGCCTGCAGCCGTGTCAGAGTAAAGCTAAAGAAAGAACAGGTGAGGCCAGAGCTGTGGGTGCCTCTTCCCATACGGGCTCGGCAGGGAATAAACTAGATTCTTTTAAATTAAATAAGATAGAATAAGTGAGCCTCAACTTGAAGGCTAACAACACAGCACAACACAGTGCTTACCCGAAAGCGCTGACACTGACCAGAGCAGGCCTAAGCATCCTGGAGCGGCCGACCCTCCGGTCACTTCGGGCTCAGACACTGGCAGGTGTCCTCAGGACCTAAGCAGAAGAGGTGACCACTGCCCTGAGTAACTGCTGCTCCTCACTATTCCAGAGCAAGAGCCTCCCCGAGCTTTCCAGATGAGGAGAGAAGGGGTCCCTGTATTTGACTTTGGCTCCTTGGAATTGGGGGAGGGCTGTGGATTATTTCTCTTGGAGATTAACTGTGACTCTGAGGTGACATTTACTGATTGGTTGAGCATGGCCTAATTTATAGCACAGACTTTACACTGGAGTTTGGCAGTTCCAGGCCCACCCTGTTTTGTTTGTTGTTGTCTAGTCTACCATACCCTTTCCCATCCCCTCGTCACGATCTGGCAAGTGCATATTTGTAATTGGAATTCTAACATGTTAATTCCCATCTACCACTTCCAGTGCAAACTACAGCAAGAATAAGGACAGTAAGGGTATTTATAATTATGGGCGGCCAAGGGGTCCTAAGTCCGGCCAGGATGAAGGATCCTCAGATCCAAGGCCTTGACGCAGGGCCCAACTTGGATTTTATTAATTCATGAAGAGAGCAATGGCTGGAGAGTGAGTGACCGGGAGGATGGCAGGAGAGGCCTGAGTGCTGTGAGCTGGGCTGGCAGGAGCCCCGGAAGTATCTCTGAAGCATGCAAAGAAAGGTGTGCAGAAAGAGCGAGCTGCATAACCAACTGAGGCAGCATTTGACGTTTTGGGGCCAGTGCTTCAGCTCTGCTGTGCAAGCTTTTCTCCCCTGAGAAGTCATGGCCTCTTATCTTGAGGCCCAACCCAGCTGACAGCCCTGGGCTCTTTATCCCACCCGGCTCAACCATGTTTCTCAATGGGAGTCGCGGGACAGGGGAACAGTGCTGCTGTCTGGCTTCAAAGATTACGAAGCAGCCCCTCGGCCAGCCCTGGTACATTGCTTAGAGCCAGCTGAAGGGGAAAGGAGATGGCCCGGCCAGTTCTATGTGGATCAGTGCATAGAGACCGGCCGGGTTTAGCCAAAGTGAAAGTAACTGCTCTTTAGTCAAGAAGTGTCGTCCAGGTGCTGCTGATTCACAATTAGGGAAATTCCCTGAAGAGTTCAGATTTTCACCTGACCATGGAAAACTAGAGGATTTAACAGTGCTGGATCCACACTCTTCAGCAACAGCTAGCTGGAGCTGGCACAGGGAAGGGACAGGGCTCCGGCTGTCCACCAGATCCACCTCTTGGTCTTCTGACACAGGTATCCACTCATGTGACCATTTCTCTTGTCCACCTGGTCTCTGGACACATGGGAGCCAAGAGCTGGGCATACATCAGAAGAGTGAGCATATGCCGGGTTGGAGATCAACCCACACGACGTAAAACGCAGAACCACAGGAGTTTGCAGTAGGTTATCTTCAACACAGCTGTCCAGGGCTTAGAGATGCACTGCTACAAGATGAACCATTCCCTGCAAAGTTTTGTACACTGAAGCCCTCATCCCCAACACCTAAGACTGTGAATTTATTGGGAAATAGAATCATTCCAGATTCTAAGCCAATAGGAGGTCATTCTGGAGTAGGTGACCCCTAATTCAATAGGACCGTGGTCCTTGTGAAATGAGAGAAATTTGGACACACACATGAACACCGCAGGGAGCTGGAGGCAGTGGTCAGGTGGGCAGGCCCCCAAGGGTGCCCACATTCTGAGCTCTGCAGCTTTGTGCATAGCAGGCCCGCTAAAAGGGCTGATAAGAATATGTGGATAATCTTTAAATTAATAAAATGCATTACAGAGAGCTACAGGAAAATGGCACAGCAGTGAGCAGTGAAGAAAGAGCCCCCCCAAGTTCAGTGTCCAGACCCTGGAGTACAGCAACATGAGGAAGGAGGAGGAGGAGGGGGTCCCATGGACACAGGAAGGATCTGAACTGAGACTTGGAGCCCACGGAGAGAGATAATTCAGGAATCCAGGGAAAACCAAGGGGCGGTGGCCCTGCCAGCTGGGGAGAACCCACAAGGAAGACACCCCTCTGCCTCCGGGGCCCACAGTGGGGCCATGGCCAATGCACTTCCAGCAGGGCTGTGGCATGAAGCCAAGGTAGCACCTGTCTGTCTCTCTTGTCTATGCCTCTTGTCTATGACCCTCTTGTCTATGCCTGGACTTTGCTGACCCAGTGGCTCAGTCCTGGGTCTCTCTGGGTGCTGCATCAGCAGGGGAACTCTGGGGCAGGAAGGACACTCATGTCCCTGCAGTGGGATAGACACACAAGCACAGGCAGCTGGACAGCTGGGCATTTGGGGACAAATAGAAAGCAAGAAAAGAAGTATCCATGCTTCCAGCTGGTCACTTTGGTCCCTGGCAAAGGCCATGGCCTGTGTTACCACAGCAGATCACAGCCAGGCTGGAAATGCCTATCCATGAAATGACGTGGCTACCCTGAGTCCCTGTCTGTCCACCGCTGGTGAGACCTCTGCTCCACTGGGCTCAGTGTGAGACTGAACATAAACCAAGTGGCCACTGAGTCCTCCCCGATACTGAAAGAAGCCACAGTGGCAGCAAGGACAGGCCCCGCTGCTTCCGGGGCTTCTGGGCCAGCCCACACTGAGCAGGTGGCTGCTGGTTTCTTCCAGCCTGGTATGAACCTCCCAAGCTTCTGCCCCAGGCCACCTCACTCTGGCCCAGCCCTAGTGCCTGTTTTATAAAGTCCAGCCACCCGGCCTCTGCACTGCCATAGCAACATCAGTAGAGGTGAGACACTTGGAGGGATGAGGGCGGATGCACTGGACTGCACTCTGCCCCCGAGACACTGTGGAAAGTTCACAGCAACGCGTTCATCACCGCCCCACCTGCACTCCACCGAGGGCCCAGACCTCCACAGGGCCACATTGTGCTACGATCCCACTCTGGACACCACCATCATGACTGGGGCACAGATCCCTGGTGGGGATGGGACTGGGGGGGGAGGGGCCCAAGGCCAGTAAGGTCCTGGCTGCTGCAACCCTCACCGACACTTGGAGCCCTGCTCTCTTCGACCTTCGCTTGGGTTGCAGTGGCTCCATGACATAGCAGCTCAGCACCCTGTCCCTTGGCAAGCTCTAGTAGCCATCCATTGGTCACTGTGTCAGAATCTGAAGTCAGCTTGCCTCTTGGGCTTTCAGCTAAGCCCTGGTACTGACGACCACCACTGTGCAGGCCCTGGTGGGCCAGGAACCACAGAAGACAGCAAAGAGCTTGCAGGACCATCACAGGTGGGTCCAGTTTTATTACAAGAAACTAGTTTACTGAAAACCAACTCCGATATCCCAGAAACAGGGAAGGAGGGCTGGGGAGCCACCCCTGGTCCTAGGCAGCCCAGGTGGTCTCCTCACAGCTGGCCAGATGCACTGCAGCCTGGACATCCTGCCATGCTCCCTCTGCAGCCGCTGGAGTCCATACCTGCCCGATCCTCATTCTGCAAAATCCATGGAGTTCAGGGTCTTCTGCTTTGCACTGAAAATGCAGGGACATGTGACATCCACTGTGTTTCTGAACTCTACAGGGAGTGCACCTCGCCTGGGGTCGCCCTGCCCCACACTAGATCTACAGCCCACTGCTCCCATCCGCCTGCACTGCCCTTCCACCAGCTCCCCACCTTCCCCTTTCTTCCCTGGTCCCTGTAAGATGACAGGGATATAGCACAGCCATCGGGCAAAACAGCATGCAGGACACCCAGCTGGACTGCACTCCTACCTCCTGTCCACATCTCTGCTGTCCAGTCCCTTGGTTCTATGCACAGTGTGTGTGTGTCTGCTGCCGGCTGGTTGACCGGCAGGAGCAGCAAAAGGTCCAAATGTGGGCACCTACGGCAGCCCAGGTGCTTCTCACAGTTCATATAGCCAGCAGAGGCTGTGGCCCTGCAGGGATCAGGGTCCTCATCTGTAGGCCACAGAGGTGAAGGGTGGGCCTGAAGGGCCTGGACACAGGGTAGGCTCACTGGCCCCTTCTCGGGAGGCCAGCCGAGAGGGCAGACCCCTGGGGTGGCGGGCTTCACGCGGAGGGCGCTGCCTGTACCCCAAAGTGGTTAGCATTCTAGCATGAGCCTCGGGGCCAGGAAGTCATCAGTCTCATCCATCACCTGAGGGGCACAGCCCATGTGAGATGTGAACTTCAAGGTCCGAGGTTCCAGCAACTGGGGACAACTCCAGAGGGGAAGGAATGGGGCAGGGGCCCCAGGGGTGTGTCCAGTATAGGCCTGGGCCTGGGGTTCGGAGTGAGAAGCTGGCAGATGGGGCTTTGTGCATCCGAGGAGAGGGAACAGGGGGTTGGCTGTCCCTCCAGGACACTCCTCACCTGAGGCTCCAGCATCTAAGTGAACAGCAGGGAGCATAGGACACCCCAGGCCCCAGACACCTGCCTCGGGTCATCACCCTCCTTGCCTGAGGATAATGCTGGGGAACAGGGCCAGCTTCTGCCCCCAGGGAACCTGGTACCCAGCCTGGAGTTACTGGCTCTCATGTTGCCCTTGGCATCCAGCAGGATGTCCCCTGGCCACGATTCCAGAAGGTGCCACTCTCGGCGTGGCAGTGGCAAAGGGTGCTGAGCAGGCACCCTGGCCGCACAGTGCCCTGCGCCCCACGGGCTGTTAGACCAGGTCATCTGCTTCGATGACTAGAAATGAGTCCATCTGGTTGGAGAGACACAGCCTTGCTGGATCCATCTCAGCGGAAGTAAGCAGGAGCTGCCCTTTGTGTCTCAAGCAGGACTTTCAAGGCCACAGCAGTCCTGGGGGAAGGAGCTGAGCCAGTGGCACCGGCCACACTTGCCATGTCCGCAGGTCTTAGGTCCCGGTGGGGTCCTGCGGGAGCCTTCACCTGAAGGGCAGCTTTGAAGGCTGCCCCACTGTCACTCGAGCGTGGTCTCTGCTCTGGCTCAGCATCCCGGACTCACTGCCAGCACCATCCCCGCCGCACCTCCACGACCACAGTGACACCAGCGGGCAGCTCGGAGGCACGGAGGCTCTGTCTGGATGATGTGAAGCAGTGCGGTTATACGGGGCCCTGCAGAGCGCTGTCACAGCCTGATGTGCAGGTCCCTGCACAGCAACTGTCTCCCCATCCCGCCCACCTCCCGATTCCTGGTGACTCCCCTTTCTGTGGGTTCAGCCTTTTGCGGGGAGGGAAGGGTGCGCTCCTGGGTGTAATCGAGTATTGTGTGTCTGTAATCAGGAGGGTCAGAAGAAGGACTCTCGGCTTCACCTCTCACTGCACACCTACAGATCAAAGTGCCACCATGTGTACCCTGACACACAGCTTGTTAATTAGACCTCAACAGAAGTAAAACCAAAACAAAGAAACTGGCAAACAAATACACACCCAGTAAACCATTGCCCAGAATCTCCCTGTAACTACAGAATAAGCAGCCTGTCTCAGTCTGCCCCGAGGTGACGGCACACAGCGAGCCAGGACTCACCAAGCTCAGAAATCCCCTTTCCCTGTGTCCTCGAGGCCCAAGCATGGCCACTGCACTGACGCACCAAGCTGGGCCTCCTCCTCAGCATGGCCACACACAGCCCTGCTCCCCCTGGGAGCCTCTCACGTCCCCCCCTCCCCCAGCTCTGGGCACCCGTCAGCTGAAGCCCCAAGGCCACTCATGCTGGCTGAAGTACACACTCCAGCCGGGCCACACAGCTACAGCGAAGCACGCTGGGTGACCCACCGGGGCACGTGCTCAGCACTGCAGAGCGAGAAGACGAGCAGGGCTCTGGCCCAGCTCTGCAAACTCTGCTGTTTTACCCTTGCAGCTCAGTGAGGGAGGCATTAAATTAAAGAAGAAAAAGAGCATGGTTTTGTTTGGATTTTTGTTTTGTTTTGTGGCACTGGGGATTAAAACCAGAGCCTTTGTTCTGGGTATTAAAACTAAGCCCTTCTCTATTTTGAGACAAGGTCTCACTAAATCACTAAATTGCCCGGGCTGGAATCAACTTGTGATCCTCCTGCCTCAGCCTCCGGGAGTGCTGTGATTATGGGCTGTGTCACAGGGCCCAGCAAAGGCCCAGTTACTGAAAAGTCGGCAAAGCTTTCCTTACACACAGCAGCATGATCTGAAGAAGATGCGATGGGTACCCAAAAGGTAGCCTGGAAATTAAACAAGTACATGAAAAAGTAAACGCAAGCAGACAAATAGCAGATGGCCAGCAGCACAACTCACAGAGCTAAATTTTAGGAGCAGCCTAGATGGTCACCAACAAGGGAGTTCTACTCAGACATAAAGAAGAAATTCACAGGATTTGTAGGAAAACAGATGTACCTTGAGACCATAAAGTGAAATAAAGCAGACACATGGCCTTGAATATCACATGGTTCCTCTTACATGAGAAAGCCAAAGTGTAAGTAAATTAAAGGGCAAAATAAAAAACAGCAAGATAGATCTTTTGCCAAAAGAAAAGGGACAAACAGACTGAAGACGTGTTATGCACACGACCAATCTCCACAGAGAATGTGACCACTGTGGAATGCAAACATTAGCTAACAAAAAGAAAAAACACATTGCAACTGAAATCCCCTTTATCAGAAAGGAACAATTTAAAAATGAAGTCTCCTGGTGATGCTGTGACATGGCGCTGAGCAGGAGTGGGAGGAGCCAGTGTGACCTCCCTCACCCTAGTGAGCGAGGCCTCAGCAATGCACAGACCTGATGTGAAGACACACATGCCCGGGGTGCTGCAGGTACACACACAGGGCCCAGAAGCGAGTGAACCCCAGTGACAGCAGGCAGCCCGTGAGCCTGGAATCCTGACCATCACCAAGCAAAGGGGAAGGCTTCCGGGGGCATGTGGCCTGGAAGGAGCCTGGAGGTTGGTTTCCGTCCTCAGCAGGGCCATACCCCAGTGTCAGTACCCACCCAGCCTGTGGCAGCCCCTGGGCTCCATCCCTGGAACAACTACAACAATCTGCCTGAACTGAAAATCAACAATCAGGTCCGTCTGCCCCTCTGTCTGTCCATGTGTCCCACTGTGTGAGCCAGGAATTCTGCACAGCATCCCTTTGCCTCCCTCTGAGGACACCCAGAGATACATACAGGAGCAGCAGAGTCCCGGCAGCCTCCATCTACAAGAGAAACTGCTGGGGATTTAGCTCAGCGGCATAAGCAACCTGCCTTGCAAGCAGGTGGTCGTTTGATCCCTGGTACCGGAAAAAAAAATGCTTTAAATGGTACATTTTGGGGGCTGGGGATTTAGCTCAGTGGCATAAAGCGCCTGCCTTGCAAGCCTGTGGTTGTGTGTTCGATCCCTGGTACCAGTAAAAATACAAAAAAAAAAAAAAGAGAGAGAAACTGGATCAGTGACCTACAACATGCTCAGTATCACAGACCAGAGCCGGGCAAGTTCTCAGGTGGGATTCAGCTGAACAACTTCCAGAGGAGTGACCCCAAATCTTTATAAACCCTCCAGAAAACAGAACAAAGGGAATTCTAACTCATTCTGAGGAAGGATCACTCCAACACCCCAAAGTAGACACAGTGTCAGAAGGAAAATGACAGAACATGAATTCTCTTTCAGGCAGGTGTAAAAATCCTCCACAAAATACTAGCAGTGTGGAAAAGGACTTGTGTACCCTGAGCGTGTGAGAGGGATTCCGGGTGTGTAAAGCCATCAGTGTAACTCACTACAGCCACAGAGGAGGTGTTTGCCAGAGCCCAACTCTCACTTCACTACTGATAAAACTCAGCAGGCAGCGCGGAGGGGAGGGGACATCCCCAGCTTTTCAGCAGTCACACCTGCGCCCCTCAAGGACTGCAGCCTCAAGGCCCTGACTGGCCATCACTCCCAAGAGGCCAGTCCCCAAGGCAGGGAGCCTGGGCCTAGGCTGGCAGGACTGGCAGTGAGAGCTGCTTCACTGAGCCGGGATCCTGACATTCCAGCAAGGCCAGGCCTGACTGGGTTCTGTCCCTTTCCCCAGGAACAACGGGAACAGTGTGCTCCATGTACAGAGGTGAGCCGATGCATAAAACCTTCACATCGGCAGGCACAGAAAGACACACGGCCTGATCTCACTCGCATGTGCCAGCAAACAAGACACACTCCACAGCAGGAGAGAAGCACGGTGGTCACTAGAGGCCTGGACAGGGTGGGCAGCGCCAAGGCTCCACACCCAGGTGCCTCCAGTTCCAACGGTTTAGTATGCATTCTACAGAGTACAAGAGAGGAGGCCACAGCCCCACTCCAAAGAAATGACCAATGTTTGGGTGGGGGAGAGGAACATTCCCTATCCTGACTACATCTTTGGGCAAATTAATATGCACACTTACCAGAAGTTAAATCTTTGAAATGTAAGCTTCCAGGATTGCTCCGCCTCTGGAAAGCAGTGGATTTCCTCCCTCCCTCACTTGCATACTGACTGGGAGTCCAGGGAAGGACTGGCAGGGCTGGGTGCAGGGTGGGCCCAGCTCACCTGAAGGGCCAGGCAGCTACACAGGATCTTGGTGCCCAGAGGCCTGGGGCTCAGCTCTCAGCCTGACACCAGGGCACTGCTCAGGGTTGTCCCAGCGGCCCTGCGGGAGGGGGAGCACCACATGGTCACCAGGACTGGCCGTGGGCTTCATACACAATCCCACCTCCTTTTCACTTAAAAATGGTGAGTGTGAACACACAGGCATCCCAAGTAAATGACCCCAGATACCACACCTCTCCCACCCCACAGGCCACCCACCCAGGGCCAGAAACACTCTCAGCACCCCCAAACTCTGTCCATGCTCCTGGTCGATTCCTGAGTAGCACGGGGACCCCTGCTGGGGCTCTGAGCAGGTGCCTCTTGGGGTTGGGCCCTGTCTGACAGTCCCTGAGGGCCCTGTCCTGTGTGCAGTCTGCCTCCTTGACACCTTTCCCCAAGTGGCGCTGTCTGTGGGCCTGGGCACCTCCATGTGTGCCTCAGAGGGAGCCCACCAGAGGCAGTCATGCAACCTGCCACGTTAGACAGGCCTGCATCTCCCCCAGGCATTGCATCCATTTCTACAGCTCCGGAAGGTAAAGCACGCACACATACCGTCCGCACGTGCACGTTTCAGGGGCAGTAGCACTGTTTGCCCAGCTGAGGACACCACCCCAGCTGTCACCAGGCCTTTGTACCCTTACCCCAAGGAGACTCAACCTGTCCCACAATGAACCCCACACGGGGCTGTCCCGGCTTTGGGTGCCTGCCGCCGAGGCCTCCTTGGAGGCAGAGACATGTTCAGGGGCTTCCAGAGGGACAGCGGCAGCCACGGCCCGACGCCACACTGGGGGCCACGGAGACACCGCACCTCCCACCAAGGCACTCTGTCCCCGAACTCCCTGGGCCAGGACGGAGCCCGCGGTCCACAGATAGTCCACCGGGCAGCGCCGCAGCCTGGATCCTGACCTTGCCCCGCTGGGCCTGGGCGGTCTGAACCGAGTCCCTGGCTGCGTCCTGGCCCTGCGCACGTTGCTGCGCGCCCCCGCCCCGAAGCGCGACCGTTAGGATCCCCAACCGCCGCGGGCTTGGCTCGAGACGTGGGCAGCAGGAGGGGGCAGGGCGAGAGCGCGCGGACACTGCAGACCCCGAGTCCCAACCCCGCCCCGGGGCCCACCCCCCCGTGCCCAGAGTCCCGGGACCAGGAGATCGCACACCTGGCCCCACGTCCACGCAGAGCCTGGGGCCCCCTAGCCGCTCCGCTTCACCGACCCTCGGGCCCTGAGGCCGCGGATAGCTGGCTGCGCCGGCAGGTCTGGCCAAGGGGCAGGGACCCCAGAGCCCCGCGCCCCCAACCGCGCCCGCCTGCTCACTTGTCCCTGCCGCGGAGCTGGGCCCGGGTCCGGGGCTGGCTCTCGGTCCTGGTACATATGGCCGCTGCACTCGAGGCCGCACCTAGACCCCAGACCCGGAGCTCAGAGGTCCGCAGCCGCCAGGGCCAGCATCTATGGTGGGATTGGGGGGGCGGGGCCCGAGAATGTGGGAGGGAAGTCGGGCTGGACTCCGATGCGATGGGCGGGGCTTGGAGGAATGGAGTGCTCCTATTGGATGAGGTGGGGCTTGGGGGCGGGGCTCAGGGGGGACGGAGGGGGGCTGGGGTGGGGTGCTCTCAAGGCCAGGTTGAGGTGGCTCCGCCTCTCCTGGCGCCCGCCCTCTCCTGAGGCTGAGACACACAGTAAGCCCTGTAACTAACTAGCGGTGAAGCCCTGGAGCCTCTGGAGAAATAACCGACAACCAACGGAGGTTGCTAGTAGAAGCCGTTTGTTAGGCAGCAATAGCGCACTGGTACTGCAGGGGTCACCCCAAGGCGCACGATGGGTGGGTGTTTCATAGCGTTGCTCCCTGCAGTGGCGATCAGATAATTAACAACACAAGCAAACATCTGGAGAAGAATGCACAGTTCGCAGAACAAGAGCCAGACAAACCCAACATTTCAACAATCGCTGAATTTGAGACGGTCATCAAATGCTCTTTTCGGCCTACCAAACCAGTGAAGATCATAGATGCATGTGGTGATATTATGTGTTACCAAGAGTGGAGGAACCAAACTCTTCATCTCTAATCACTGGGTGTGCACACTGGAACAGTGCACTGGAAGGTACTTTAGTGGCATCTAGCAATAGTGATTGTGGGCACATCCTTTTGCCTAGGAATTCTTCTACTTCTTGGCACCTTCCCCAGAGACTCTGGCCTCTGCCTGTATTAGCCAGTTTTCCGTTACTGTAAGGAAATGCCTGACATGATGCATTTATAAAGAGGAAAGGTTTATTTTGGTTCAGGGGCCTTGAGGTTTCAGGCCAAGACTGGATAGACCAGTAAGACAGGTGGGGGAGGGCCTGTGCATGGTGGAGCAGAGCAAGGGGGCAGGTGGTGCCCCACAGTCCTTCTCCAGGGTACACTCCCGGGTAACCCGGCCCCAGCTACGGGGAGTTCCACCTCTTCCCACTTTGCAGACCAAGCCATGAGACATGGGCTTTGGGGGGATGTTCACCATCCAAACCTCAGTGGTTCCCAGGGCGAACCTTGTGCAGAGTTGCTCCCAGCAACACTTTTTCTTGAAATAAGATCTCACCATGTGGGTCAGGCTGGTCTTGAACTCACTATGATTTCCCTGCCTCAGCCTCCCAAATGCTGGAGTACAGGCATGCACCACCACACCCAGCAACACTTTACTATAGAAAGAATCTGAAAAAACCTGTGTGCCCAACAAGAGGGAATGAACAGCCAGAGCAGCTGTGCAGTGGGGCAGAGCCCACAACCACCCATAAGCAAAGCAAGCTGCCAGCTGTTTCCAATGGTGACCTCAGCCTGGCAAAAGTTTAAAGAACCCATGACATCATGGGTTTTTTGCTGCTGCCTGTCATTAAGAATCAAGACTGAAACCACTGAGGTAAGTTGCCTCTGCGAAACAAAGGGAAAGAGTAAGAGACAGAGGCTAAATGAGACCGATGTCATAGCTGTTTCAGGAAAAACGGCAAATGTAGGAAAATTGAGTCAACAGTAGCCAGGAGCTCAGGAGAAGGAAGGAAATTTTATCTAACGCCCTTGGTCCTCAGAGAGTGATCACTAAAGTCTGAGGCGCTGATTACAAGCTTGTCATTTTTATACAGTGGCAAGCAGGAGTCACAGCAGCTCAGCACAGCTGAAGGCCACGGCACAGTGGGCAAGATGTGGTACGCACAGCATGTCTAGCAAAGCTGTCTCTAGCACACTCGCACAGGCTTTAACTTGATCAGAAATCATGTGAGTTAGCTGAATTTAGTGGCAGAGAACAGAATGGCTGTGAGCAGGCCGAAATTTCTGTTTCACATAAAAAACAGCAACTCTTAGCCGCTTATGACAGTGGGTTGGGGGGGGGGTCTCTCATGTTGTGCTCTGTACTTTTCTGTTAAATTTTTCCCTAAGGAAAAGAATTTTTATGAAATTTTTTCTTAAAAATGAAAATCTTATGAAAATATTTTCCTTACAAAGTTGCAATTTTTCGAGAGGGAAAGAAAGTGACAGGTTGCTAGGTCGCTGGGTGGAGAGCTTCTCTGGGAAAAACAGCCCAGACGCTAGAATGGAGAGGGCCGGACGAGATTAGAGGGATTTTCACGACCCAGGAGGAAACTGAGGAAAAAGAAAAATAGAAGAGGAAGGAAAACCTCGGGTGGAGGGCTGGAGCCAGATGCGCTCACTGGGACCCGCCCCATGCTGTGCTGCGCACCCCGTGGAGTTGGGTGATTCAGGGTCATGATAAAGCCGCGGCTGCCAATAACGGGAGTTGGTGAGTCCTGGGCCCTTGGTGGGAGGACACAGCACAGCGTGGAGTGGAGCCAAGGTGGAGAGCTGCAGTAATTCTCGGTGAGTACTGGAAATTGGGTCCCGAGGCAGTGATGGCCAGCTGGAAGACATATTGGAGTTGAGCAGAACGGGCCTAAACCCAAACTGCAGTGCTGTTAGTCAGCTGCCCTGGCCTAGAGAGGACTGGTGGGACCTGCTTGGGTTGGGTCACACCCCTGGTCGGGCCCCTATAGCCAGGGATGAAACTGTCCTGAACCTGTGACGTCTTACAGCTCAGCCTAAGTTGCTGAAGGCACTCGCCGGTTGACTGGCTCAGAGACAAGGGGTCAGCCTGCATCGTCCTTACATGCACCTCAGATAACAGCAAACTGGAGAGGGCAGCAAGCCCCCAGCCAGCACACTTCAGAAAAACCATAAGCAATACAAAGAGGGCCTGAGACCTTCACCACACACCTGTCTGAAAGAAACCAGAAACATGACAAGAGAAAAAAATAAGAAAAAACCTCCAACTGCTGATCCTGGGAAAATAAGCCCAGGAGAGGTAAATACAAAAGAGAACCAGTGTGGCAATCATGCAATTTTGGCCACAACATCAGTGGACATAAAGAAATACCTTCGTGACCTCATAGATAAACTTAAAACTGAAATTCTAATCCAAGTGAGGCAAGATATAAAAAGATTAATAAAAGAAATACTAAGCCCCTCTCAAGAAGACACAGATGGAAGAATGGAGGAAGCCAGAAAAAGAAGAGAAACCTTTGGTGAAGAATATAAACAAAATCTAGAATACATGAAACAGACCCAAAGAGATTACCAGGAAATTAAAAACTCCATTGAAAGCCAGCAAAATGCCTTGACAGAAACTAAAGTTAGCCTTTCAAAACTTAAAGATAGATTTGCAATGTGTGATTGTGAAAGAAAAGACCTCTTAAAAATAACAAAGAACCAGGAAGTAACAATTCAAAGGCTAGAAGACGACAAGAGGATCTATAACTTAAGAATAAAAAATGTGAGCGAAGAAACAGGAGTAACCACAAATGAATTACAAAGGCTATTCACAGAAATAATTAAGGAAAACTTCCCAAGCATAGGAAAAGGTAATGATATCCAGATAAATGAGGCATACAGAACTCCAACCAACTACAACCAAAACAATCTACACCCAGACATATAATAATCAAGATCCCAGAAATCCACCACAAGAACAGAAAAAAAAGCAGCCAGAGAAAAGAAGCAGATCACTTACAAAGGAAAAACCATTTTCTCAATACAAACTATCAAATCTAGAAGAGCCTGGAGTGAAGTAGTCCAAGCCCTGAAAGAAAATAACCTCCAACCCAGATTGATGTACCCTGAAAAACTATCTCTCAAAATTAATGGAGAAATAAGATGCTTACATGACAAAGAGGAACTGGGGGAGTTTGTGACCACCAATCCAACCCTACATAAAATACTGAAGGACATTCTAGAGAGAGAGAAAAAACACCAGGGTTTCAGGAACAGTGGCAGAGAGGCCTCAATGAACGGGGCAGACAGTGGAATGAAGGAGAAAAGTGGACAAATAATAGCAGAAAAATAAAATAGCAGAGATGAGGCAAAGGTGGGCTATAATCTCTAATATAGATGGCCTTGATACACTAACAAAAAGAAACACAGGCAGAGTAGATCAGGAGATAGGATCCATTAAGATGCTCTGAATAGGAAACATACTCAACCTGAAAGAGGGTTAATAAGCTGAAAGTCGAAGATGAGAAAATAACGCTCTATGTGACAGGGAACCAGAGAGAAATAGGGACAGCTCATCCAGCAGCTGCAGATAGCTTGGAAAGACACGACACTTTTGTGCAGTGAAGAACTACTCAGCTATGAGGAAGGAAAACTTTGAGGCTTTACTAAGTAAAGGAATACAGCTCAAGATCAAGCTCAGAGGTAAAAAGGTTCAGCACCACTTAGCTAGATAACAGGTTGCCGCCCCTAATCTAAAAACTAAGGAGTTAGTAGGAACCAAAATATACAAAGCACCCTGAGAAAGGGAAAGGGGAGGAACTGCCTAAAAAAGGAAGGCAGAGGACATTGTTAATAGTGTATCAGGATTTTAAAGCCACATTAGTCTTATTGCTCTGTTTAGTTTGATTTTATTTTTTTCCGGTCTGTCTACTCATACTAGATTTGAGGGCACAGACAGCTATCCCAAAAATAGCAGGATATACTATGGTAAATATCCTTAATTCCCTATTAACTTAAACTGAAGTCCTGTATTACTTACATTATCTTACTATGACTGATCTTATTTGAATCTGGTTTGTTAGACCGCTGTTTTGTCTTGACTGATTTTATTCGAATTGGTATGCTTGATAGTATCAAGTCTTAGAGGCAACTGCTCTGAAGATGACAAGATGTAATAACATACACATTCTGATTTGATTATTAACTGCTTTTGAAGTCCTGCAAGATCTCCAAAGTTGTGTTTTTATTAAAACTGCTATATAATGCTATGTTCAATTATATTATGTCTGATGATGTGAACAATTCTACTGAAAATAACTACTGTAGATCAACTAATATTGTGGTTTTATATGTCTCTTTCATGTCTTTCTAGGAATTTGTTTTGTTGTCTTGTTTTGATCTGTTTTTCCCTATAATACAGAAAGGATAGGTATACATGTAGAGATTCACAC